AATTTGAACTCAGGGAGAGGAGTCTTCCTGACTCCAGGCCCTGTGCTCTATGCACTATGGCGCCACCTAGCTGTCCTTTCATTTATTTATTTGTTTTTTCTAGCTGCCTTTTTGGAGGAAATACACATGATCAAAGTATTTAGAGCTGGAAGGACCTCAAAGATCATCTGACCTAACCCCATCATTTACCACAGGAAGAAAATGAGGCCCAGAAAGGTTAAGTGATTTACCCAAATTCATAAAACTGCAGAGCCAGAATTCAAACAAAATAGAGTCCTATGACTCTAAATTTAGCATTTTTTAAAATCAGGAAATTGTAGGCCAGGGTGCAGTGAAATAACTCAGGTTATGAGTTATGAGTTCCAATCCAAATTAGCCCTCAGTATACAGCATAACATTAGATTCACTTCTCCCTGAGCTTCCTTTCACATTATTAAAAATAAGGTGTGACCCTGGGCAAGTCACTTAACCCCAATTGCCTCACACCAAAATAAATAAATAAATAAATAAATAAATAAAAAATAAGGGTGGTTGAATTGGGCAACCTTTAAGGTTACTTCTGGGAAGTTAGATGGCACAGAGGATAGAGAACAGGACCTGTAGTCAGTAAATGTAGTCAGGAAGACCTGAATTCACATGTGGCCTCAAACACTTAGTAGTTGTGTGACCTTGGGCAAGTCATTTAACCCTGTTGGCTTCAGTTTCCTCATAAAATGAGGTGAAGAAGGAAATGGCAAACCACTCAAGTATCTTTGCCAAGAAAACCCCAAATGGGGTCACGAAGAGTCAGACACTTCTGAAACAACTAAGCAACAAAAGGTTCCCTCTAGCTCCAGCAATCTGGGAATCGTTTTTTAAAAAAAAGGTGTACAGCTAGTTTCCAATATGAAAACGTTAAAATGTAAGTTCCTTGAGGACTATTTCACTCTTGTCTTTGTACCCCCTCCCCCCACTACTTAGCACAGTGCCTGGTTAAGTTGATTAAATTGATTAAATGTTAAAATCAGGTTGTGGCCCAAAAATTCATTTAGAAATCGGTTGTTTGAAGTCAGAATGTATTTTCCCATAGAAACCATCATCATAAATAATGGTTAGACATGTCCACAAAATCTTTCATCCATGATGTACCTGAATATCCTACTTCAGGTACAACCAAACAGAATTAGGTCATGACATTTGTGTATCCTAGGCAAACTTTGAATTAAAAATTGTGCCTCCCATTTGGGTCAAGGACCCCAATGGAGAATGAATCCATTTGGAAAGCCAAGTACTCTTTTATTCAGTCTATAATTACCTCCATTGTCTCTATTCTACAAATGTATACCTTAGTAAACTTTAATTCTTAAGGCAGGACAGCCGTAGTCAGTACCTTCATTTTATAAAGTGAAAGATTAGAAGCAAAATTATTTTTTCTCAAACTCACTAAGCAAGCCAGAAAAAGAGGAAATCATAAACCCTGGGTCTCATAACTCATAGTTCCCTGTCCTATTATATCCTAGCCCATACTTGCCATTTTTTATGGTCCTGCTGATCTAATCTGGTACTATAATGACCTGTATGAACTTTTGTTTATCCCTGGTTTCAGGAGTCAGAAATAGTGTCTACAAAGGTATGTAGTGGAAAGAGCACTATAGGTGAAATCAGAAGAGCTAGAATTTAATCCTGCCTAGGACATTTGACCTTTGGTGACTCACTTTCCCTCTCTGAGCCTCAATATCCTCCTCTGTAAAATGAAGGGGTTGGGCAAAATGATCTCTAAGGGTCTTTCCAACTCTGATATTCTGAGCCTCTAATTTAAATTCAATGATAAAATATTTCATTTTAGCCATTCACTTTCACCTCTTTTCCAATCAAACTTTGTACCATACCCTACTAAACGGGAGCAAAAATTAATGCTTTGTTCTTCATCCCTCTTTCTGTACTAGTCTATGATTTTTTTTTACTAAAAAACTAAACTAAGTAACTAAAAAACAGTGTTACAATCAAATAAATGATAGAATAATGTCTAAAGCAGGTCTCTCCGGTGAGAAGAAATTCTCTACCACCTGCAGCAGCCCGGTCCAGTTTTTGAAAACTGAAAAAATTATTAGGAAGTTTCCCCTTATATTGGGTCAAAATCTGTCTCTCTGGAATTTCCCCACATTTCTTCTTGTTTTGCTATCTGGAGTCAAGCGGAATAAACCTAATCCTTTATCTACAGCAAATGCATGAAGACAATGAACACTTCTCTTCTAAATCTCCTCTTCTTCAGGCTAAATGTCTCCATTTCCTTCACCTGTCTCTATATAGGATGATGGTGACCCCTTCACTAGCCTTGTTGACATTCTCCTTTAACTCATTCCTTAACCTTTTACAATCTGGCTTTGGACCTCATCCTTCAACTTGAAATTGCTTATCTCAGACTTGTTAATGATTTCTTAACTGGCAGATATGATGGTCAGTCAGTCAATAAACATTTATTAAACACCTATTATGTGTCAGGCACTGTGCTAAGCACAAATGTGAGAGAGAGAATGTGTTTGTGTGCCCCTGCCCTCAAAGAGCTTACAATCTAATGGGGGGACCACACACGAAACACACCTAAAACTGGAGAGGGGACGTACCCAGTACAGGAATATGGCGGAGAAGTCAAAGAAGTGCAAAATGAGTGACTTTGTTGAACCAGAACCCTTCTTATATTTCTAGTAGCTAAACCTTCTCCCTAATGCTAGACAATGTCTCTTCACCTGTCCTTTGAATACTGTGCGGTATAGCAGAAAGAGGGTTGACTTGGTATGACATGGGTTCAAATCCCAGCTTTGCTACTAACTAATTACTTCTGTGGCCTTGAGCAAATCATTTCATTTCTCTGGGCCTCAAATTCCTTATCTGTAAAATAAGTGGTTTCATTTAGATGACTCTATGATCTCTTCTAGTCTCTATGATTCCATCATCACTGGAATCATCTGATACTGACTCATGCTTTTGATCCAGACCCTTCTTCCTTTTCTTCAGTTGAAAAACCTATATCTCTGTTAACTAATTCCTAAGTCAGCATGACTGATTGGCACTTCTGGTCCTTCCATGATTCCTGACTGGAGGTGCCACAGCCTGTGTTAGAGAATAGTCCTAAGCCCTAGGATAGGACCGAGTACAGAGTCAACTTATGTTGAGCCGCCTAGACGATAGTTTGAGTCTTCCCCTTCTGGAATACCCTTGGTCCTATAAGCTATGAACATCGCCAGCAGATCAGCTCTCACTTGTGTGATTTCTTTCAGTATGGATACATAGTTCATTTGGGAATGGCGACCTCAATCCAGTCAGCCCATTTAACTACCCTTTTGCAATTTTCTACACTGGTCTTGGGTTTCAATTCTTTTTTGACCATTTTTATTTCTGATCTTCACCTTCAAGATTATTCTTTTCGGTGGGGGGGGGAAGCAAAATAGAAATTAAATCATTCTGCTTTTTCTCTAGAACAAAGAGCTAACCAGGAGGCTACTCCTTGCCTGTTGATGGGCCTGTTGATTAGTAACCCTAATTAGATGGGCCCAGGATTGAGATTTCCTACAATTTCTTCAGTACATTTGACTTCAAATGATTCCTTGGAGTAGTACTTCATTTTACATATATGATGTTCCCGGCAAATCAAATTCTCTAGACCTCGCTTTCTATATCTGGTAAAATGAAGTGGTCAAACATTTGATTACTAAATGCCCTCCCAACTCTAAAAGTTCTGTGATTCTACTCTGTGAATCTATTTCCTAAAGCAGGCCAAATTTGAATCATAAGAAAGAGTGTCATTTACCAGTAACTACCCTGCTTCCTGTATTACCTACGTATCATTCAAAATCTCTTGGCCAAACGCTGACCAGACCTGACCCCAGTTCTTTAGAGATCTGATGAGATCATGACCTAAAGTGATATAGCCAAGGACTTTAAACTTATTAAAAATGTATATATACAATTACAAAATTCATACGTAATTAATAAAAACCGAGTTGATATTATCTTACACTAGAGAGACAAAATCTTTCTGAAGAAGTGTTTGGCAATCATCCCACAACGTCATTAAAAATTGAAGTTCTGGGCCATGGCTGACTCAGGACTCTAATTCACTTGCCAACTCTGCTTTTCCCCAACCCCCCAGGCTATGTGCTGACTCACTGCCTTTATTAGTTTTATCCCTTAATTCCTTCTTCAAGGGGAGAAAGGGGGTGTTGGAAACTCCATCACCATCATTTTTGCATTCATGACAGCAAAAGACACAAATAAAGAAAGAGAAGACATGTTTGCCTATGACTTGGTGGGCTAGTTGACCACATCACCTTTCTAGCAATATTTTGGATCAGATTTGAAATAGTTTCCAAAAGAGACAGTAAGCCTTGTTACTGGTTTCTTGATGAAATCCCTAAGGACTAGGAAATGTTTATCTTCCTATTACAATGTTCTATTAAGTTTGTTTGCCATATGATTTAGCCTCTAACTACTTTAGCCTTTTATTTATATGCATGTGGGAGGGTATGTCTTATGTATTTCTGTTATTGTTACTTGTCAATGGAGGCAGTTGACAAAAGAGGATCATGGACGTAATGGAGGATAGTTTCCTTGGCATTTAAGGTCTTTCACAACTTGGTTCCATCCTACTTTTCAGATCAATAAAAATTTCTTATATGCCTACTTTGTTCTTATATGCTTAGCCCTGGGGATACAGAGATAGAGATGGAACATTTCATACTTTCAATGACCTTACAGTCGAATGGAGAGGAAGCCACGCACACAAAATAACTAGGGTACAATGAAGAATGAGATAGAGCAAAGGAGAAGTGAGGTCTAGGGAAAGTGCTGTTTGAAATCTGAAGAGGGAGAGATCATTTTCATTTGGGATGGGTAGAAGAGGGAAGAAGGTCATCCAAGGCAATAGAGAAGGGGCATCTGAGGATGGCCTTGGTGGACGGGATGGGTTTCAATTTGATTTCCTGGTTTCTCTATTTGCAATTCATTTTTTATAAAAATTCCAGACTCTCAATATTAAAGATGAAAGTTTCATTTTGGAAGTTCTCTCTGGATGTCTTGAATACAAGAAGTTACTGGAAGTGGTAGTCACTGCATTTTATGCACATGCTGGGAAGAAGTTTCTGTGGTCTGATTACAATCTCTTTATAGGTATGTGGTTTTAAGCACTGATTTAATTCAAGCATGAAATTCAAGAATTCAGTAAAACCCAAATTATGTTCTGCAACCCTTGGTTAATTCTGGGTTAATCCTGATTAACATTGATATTTTACACTTTTCAAATATGAAGAAAGAATATTAGGATGGAAATGTGTGTATATTGAAGAGAATTTTAGTTTTATAATATAGTTTATATTTATTTATATATATATATAAAAGTATATGTATATGTGTGTGTATATAAGTATATACATATATATGTATATATGTATGTATGTGTATGTATACCGACAGCTAGGTGGCACAGTATATAAAGTTCAGGGCTTGGAGTCAGGAAGACTCCTCTTCCTGAGTTCAAATTTAGCCTCAGACATTTACTAGCTGTGTGACTGTGGGCAAGTCACTTAACCCTGTTTGCCTCTGTAAAATGAACTAGAGAAGGAAATGGCAAACCATTCCAATATCTTTGCCAAGAAAACCCTAAATGGGATCACAAAGAGTCAGATAGAACTGAAAACAACTAAACAATAACAAAAATATGTGTCTCTGTATATATATATGTATGTGTGTGTATCTGTACATACATATATACATACATATACATACATATCATTGTGTGTAAGTCAATAGTATCATAGATTTAGACTTGTAAGGGACTTTAGAGGTCATCTAGTCCAACCCACTCAAATTACCATTTTTATGGTAATGGTACTACCACTATATAAATATATCTGCATCTGTCTGTCTATAGCTTTATCTACTGCCATATGCCATATGGTATGAGAAATTTGAAGTCCAGAGTAGTTAGGTATCTTGGCCCTAGACATACAGGTAGTAAGTGGCAGGGCTGGGGTTTGCACTTTGGGCTTTTGAATCCAAATCCCCACTGTCTCCCTAAAGCTTAATTATTCTGTTGATGTTGTTACTTCCTCTGCTGACAGAGAAAGCAAAGCCTCAGGCCTTCATGAGTTGCTTTGGCCAAAAAATATCCTCATCTGCTGACTAGTCCCCTAGAAGAAGCCTTTCCAAAATGAGCAAGGCTGGTCCTGGGATAACAAGTGCATAGTCTATCAAGGGGTCTGTTTTTTTTTTTTTTAATGGATCCATTCTTGAAGCTTCTCCAGCTTAGTAGGACCTCCAAGAGCTTACTCTCCAGTGCAGCTTTAGTGGAGGACATAAATGAAGCGGTAGCAATCCTCCATTAAAATATTGTTCCATGGCATGGAATATGGCATGGAAGTGACCATCCCTCCTCAAAAGCGATGTTAGACTCTGTCAGGTCTAACCAAGCTCAAAAATCTTCAAATTCAGGCTGGACAGCAGCCTGAGTGTCTGACTTCCAAGGACTAAGTGCTGAGAACCTTATCACCAGAAGGCTGACTCCCAAGTGATGCATTTTCTGGCCAGGGCATTCCATGAAATGTCAATGGGCGTCATTTTGCTTCGCTGGAGGGAATAATACCACCAACAAAATGATGGCTCTTTCCAAGTATCAACTGATGCCTTAAATATCTATTGCTCTTACATGCTTTCCCAAGTGCTTTTGCATACATTATCTAGTATGAGCCTCATAACAGACCTGTGCGTTGGAGAAAGTGTCATCATTCCCATTTTATAGAGGAGAACACTGAAGCTCAGAGTTGAGATGACTTGCCCAAAGTCATCATTAATGGATCCTGGAAGTAGTGAAGCTGAGAGCTGAACAAGAGTGTCATGGATTCCAAGTCTAGTTCTCTTCCTTCTTCATAATGCAGCCATTTCATGTGCACAGCTTTATGCAGCCATCAAAACTTGCCAAAATAGGAAGCTTTTCTAAAAAAAAGAAAATTATTATTACTTAACTCAGTTGAATTTTGTTGTTGTCAGTAGAATGCTACTAGTTTATGTGACCTGAGTTAGTCACTTATCTACTCTGAGCCTCGGTTTCCTCCTCTACAAAATGGTGGTAATAATCCTTTTAGTGCCTACCTCACAATGTTGTGATATCTCAAATGAAATAATGCATATACAGCGCTTTAGCAACCACCAAAATGCTGTATCAGTTTTCTTTACTATTACAGATATACCTAACACTTTGTGGTGAAATGTGTGCCCTAAGATTTCATTTTAGGTTATATCTACTTCATTTGCAAATAGTTTTGTAGTATAGATATAACTTCTTTAAATATAGTCTATATGGCTAAAGATTTTTAATAGCCTTTTTTGATATTTGGTCATTAATGTGAACTCAGCTAATTCTAAATGTCAAGGAACTACTTGTAAGAGTGCAGAACACTGTGATTCAAATTCTAAATAGGCACATAAATCCATTAGGAGTCCTTTCACTTTATACAACTCAGGTGAGTCTGATGTGAATTCATTAGGACTGCATGAGCCCGTGGTCTCAGTAATCTGGTGCTATTTGGATATACTGCTAGGAAGATTCTGGGATACTTCTAGCTACATCCTTTGGAACAGGGGCTTGAATATCTATTTTACAACAATAAAAATAACAAATGTATATGGTGCTTTTCATAGGTCATGTCCATTACAACAATGCTGAGAGATAAGTAGTGCAGGTATTATTAGAGTCAGTCATTTTACAGATGAGAAAACTGAGTCTCTGAGAGTTTAAGTGACTAGCCCATAATCACACAACTAGAAAGTTTTGATTCCAAGATTCAAGATCTAGTCTCCTAACTCTAAGTGTAGAGTTCTTTACTCTGGCCATCTCTAACCTTCTATCATTTCCAGTGAATGTTCGTCCTGTTCCAGGGCTGCTAAGTATTAATATAGAAAATTACAAAATTAAGCTATGTGACCTTAGCTGGAGTGTAATGTTTCTATTCTACTATTGCTGACTTCTGATCTTATTCTTCTTAGCTTCTGTTCTAGAACTTCACATCCTTCCTCTTCCCCAAAGGGCTTTTCTATCTTCCCATACTTCTTGGAGTTCCTTTTATAGTCTCCTTCAAGCACTACCACTATATCAATATATCTGCATCTGTCTGTCTATAGCTTTATCTACTGCCATATCTATATCTATGTATCTCTCTATCTCTTTAGTCCTAGATAGATATAGATAATAGCAATAGAAAGACAAGACAATAGATATGATAGACGTAGATAGATAGATGGCTCTCAAATCTGTGATCATTAATGTTTTGATGGTGGAAGTGCAGAACCAGGAAAGACATAGCAGTAATGGGGGCCTACACACGATGCAGCCATCTCCTTTCCACTGTTGGCATTGAGTTTATGAGAGTCAAGTGATATCCTAGGGATGTTAACTTCTGGGCCAGCTGAGTAGCCCCACTTCTCAGTGTAGCAAGTGTAATCTTGTGGGTCATAAGAAACAGGAATCCAGAGGCATTTGGCTAACAATCACATGGCACTCCACCTCTCCAGCTGTATTACTGCTACATGCCAGGTTCTTACCTAAGAACATGTGTCACAGTTGTTGACTTAGCCCCCACAGACTTGGCCAGGCATCTTCTTTTCCCTTCCAGAGATGTTGCCTGCTTTACTTTCCTTCTTTCAGGGTCATAATTTAAACCCACAGTTTAGGTTAGTCAATGTACAGAAGAAGCAGAAGGCATAATTGTGTGTAACACAGGCTAGACATTCCCTTCAGTCCCCAGATTCAGCCCCTCCCAAGGCAGAGAGCCCTTTACTTTAGGCCATGGCTCTATTTCTCATCTCTTAAGTCTCCTAGCCATTGCACAGGAATTGAGGAGAGAGCAACCTTGAAATTCAGGGTCTTGTATAATAGGACTCTGATCTCCCCGTGAAACAGCAGTGGATACAGGCAGTTAACTCATGAGAGGATTAGAGAACCATGCGGAAACATTGGTGATTCTCATGGTCACAGCTGCACAGGTAAACGGGAACACAGGATTGTACGCCCGGGGTCCCCAGAACTCTAATTCAAGGTCTGATTCATTCCCCTGCCTGTTGTTACAGCACCAGCATCCTTTGGACCCTGCTCAGATGCTCCAAATGCTAAATCTGATACCAAGACTAGCAGGGCAAAGATACAGTACTTGCCACATTGAGAAGGGGTGCTGCTCAAGTGCTCCAGAAACTAACACCCCTAGGATATCATAAATCAGCCATCTCATCTCCCACTGTGTCATCATGTCTCACCAAGTCTCTTTCACTTTTAAAATCCTGTATATAGGAGTATATACCCTTCACTGCAGTCAGCCCAAAAGTCAGTCTAATCAAAGTCCAAGCTAAGGCAATGTATCAGTTTTTCTGGCCCTGTCTGAATCTCATTCCAGCAAAGTGTAGCCCTATCCTGCCTCCACAAAGATTTATACAGTCTCTGTCTTCAAGTTCTTAGTTAATGGGAGATAACATTGAAAAAATAAGTATGATTGAGTATGGAAATGGAGTGTGATGGGAAGCGTCTATCATTAGTCACTGAAATAAGTATTACGTGTATATTTTTTGTTTCTGTAATTATACATAACAACTTTCTTATCGTGTTTTAATATGTATTTTTGTTAGTTATTTGTTATCTGTCTACTTTTTGCCTGGATAAAATTGGTCTCCAGCCCTTCAGTAAAATTATCAAGTCTCTGGACAGTGTCAAAATGCATAAGGTAAGCTAATCCTTTTTTAACCATATAGAATATTCAGTGTTTATCTTTAAAAGTTTCTTATGAAGTACCTTATTTATGAAGCTTATTAGTTACTTTTAAGCCTCAATTACCAAGTACTTTATGGTACTATACCTACAAACCCTAGGAAATGAAAAATTTTATCATTTTCATTTTAATGATGCTATAGTCCTTATATTTATGTAAAAAGAGATTCACATTATCTTATTTCCAAACTTGCATTTTTGGCCCGGGTTAAATTATATTCTTATTAGTTAAAATGAAATGAACTACTATGGAAACCTTGAGGTATTATGTATAATGAAAGATATTTTAAGTAATACTTGCTTGATAATTCCCTAAAGACATTAGTGACTACAGTCTGTGATGCTGAACCAGCAAGGGTACAGCAGTGCCCCATGAAGACACTGTATTGAGCAGAGATTCCCAAACATATTTGACCTACCACTCCCTATTGAAAAAAAATACTCAGCACCCCCTGAAAAATCTACTTTTTTACCCTTTAATGTTTTTTATAAAGTTTGCATTATTTCAAAAAATATGAAATACTTTTTTAAAAAATGACACATCTTAAATTTAATAATTTATTGTGAATTTGTGGGGGTTTTCCCACATTGAAATTTTGATGACACAATATTGCATCATGTAACCACATAGTATTATATTGTAAATAAGTCATCACATGCACATATTTCTGCAGATGCATGCTGGACTTCCTGACAATGCGCGACGTGTTTGCCTGCCAACACTTACTGGTTAAGACCTGTCAGTGGACTTTACCACTGATCAGTTATAATTTGTATTTTGTGTGTTTATTTGGAAAATAATATAATCACTATGACTTTAACTCTCTTATACAACAGATAAAGCTTTTGCAAACAGTTTTTCAAATTTTTCTTCTCTTCTCTTCTTTCCTTATGTTTCCACAACCCCTTTATTTTTCTTCAATGCCCTGCAATTGCACCCAAGGCTACTACCACCCCCCTGGATCATTCCAGTGCCCCCAGGAGAACCTATGGATAGAATCTTAGAGGTGAATAGTTGCCATAGCCCCATACCTGTGGTAATGAGACCACACAGTCATGGCTGTAAAACTCTGGAAAGGACATATCAGTTTTTCTGATTATCTTGGTGTTGGCTAGTCTTCTTAGCACTTGCTTAATCTTCTCTAAGAACTGACTCTCAGCATTGCTTCTCTAGAATCCTTGACCTGTTCCATCTAGTGACTGGTCCCTCCTTTTCTTGGATTGTGTTTGTATGTGTTCTTCTCCCTTGCAGGGATCCCTGTATCCTCTGTGTCTCCAGCAGAGTGTACTTCACTTGTTTAAAAAATATTTCCTGCAATAATTAGTCTCTGAATTTTTAGCCGCCTCCTGTCCCTTTTGATTTGTGAACTAATTCTGGATCACACACCATGATGTTATTTCTTTACTATGTTTACATACCTCAGAGATCTAGTCTGAAAAATCAGTAAAAGAATGTCTTTAAAGTACTTTGGGGAAAAAACTGTATCACATATAAAGCACAAAGTAACATTATAGACATAAGAAAGGAAAAAAAACCCTCAGATGCACTAACATGCATCCTGGAAGCCAAGCTGTTAGCACATTAAAAAGGCAGGGCAGTTATTTTGTAGAACAAAAGAAGTAACAGCTGCTGCTGAGACTTCCTGTAGAAAGTAGGTAAAAACTGGTGCCCAGGCCAATCAATTAGACTAATTTCGGAACTAAATGTATTGGGAGGAAGGAGGACAAGTGAAGTGGATGAGACCTCTTTGTGTCATAGCAATGGAACTCCAGGAGATTGCTGGCTCATGTGGCTCGGGCTCAGTCCTAGACAATCCTGTCTATTATTATGCAAAGTAATTTTGGGAGGAAGAGTGCTAACTTCAGGGGAAATCAGAAAAGACCTCTTTCAGAGAGCAGAACTTAGAGCTGGGCCTTGAAGGGAGTTGGAGAATCCAAGGGGCAGAGAGAATTCCCCAATGTAGGGGACAGACAGACTGTGTCAAAGTTTCTGTGCATCTTTTCCTTTTTGTCTGATTTGTGTTCCCTTATGTATGTGATATGTCCCTGGGTTATTCCATGGTTATGGCTGAGGTCTTGGGCAAAAAGCTGGGTGTCAAAGAAGCAATATTTAGGAACTAGGTGGTAATGACTATACTATGAGATCAGCAGCAACAGCTGTACCCTTAACACTTTCTAAGCCCCTCCTAATTCTCTGGCGTCACATCTGTGTCAGAGATCCAGGGATCCTTGCAGTTTAAGGTTATGGGAAACTGACTCAAAATAGCACAGACTTTCATCAGGCAGTCCTGCTAAGGATTTCCTGTGGAAAGAGGAGAATGTATTTGGCTCCCCTTCCACCCATGAGACAAACAGATTTTTCTACTCTTTGCTGCATTAGGGAGCTGCTAGTTAGAGATCAGTTGAAGAATATGATCTTTTGTCTAATGTTTTCAAATACTTGAAGATAGTTATCATCAGGTCCCGATGCCCAAGATAACAACTCTCAAAAATGAAGGAAATTATCACAACAAAAAATACAAAGTTCTTATGGAAGAGGTAGCCATTGACCAACTTTTTTTTCTTATTAAATAAAGAACATGTAAGCAAAGAATGAATGAAAAGACAGGTGATCCTATAAGAATGATGTCAGGAGTAGCAAGGCTCAGTATGAGATGAATGACAAATGCTGGCCAACAAAATGAGCTTTTTTAAGGTCACATTGGCTTAAGTAGAAGATCAAAGAAAGATTCAGGATGGATGTAATGATGGTAATAAACACTAGAAGGAAAATAGAGCTATTCTCATCTCTCATTTTGATTCTGTTTTCTCTGCCAATGAGAATAATCTTGATATGGCAAGAATAGAACAAAAATGGTTAATAGGTCATTGAAACCCAAGATTAGTGGGTAGATAATAAAAGCATGTTTGACTAGCCTCAGTGAGTTCAAGAAAGAACTGCAGATATGATTGTTGAGCAGTGGTTGGTATGTGGATGTGTATTGCCCACACATCTTTAAAAAAAATCATAGAGAATGGAAGAAGCACTGCTTCCTAAGACCACAACTAGGCAACTGTCTTGGTTTTTTTTTTTTAAAGAGTGGAGGAAGAAAAAAATAGAATTTTCAAAATACAGATCAGTGAACTTGACTTTGATTTCTGGCAAAATTCTGGAATGTCTCTGTGATACTATATGATATATAGTACATGCACAGAGTACATCAATCACATGGCTGATGCAATTTCCCCATATGGAGAGTCTGGGGAGCCTGCTTCTGAGAGAGTCATGAAGAAGTCTAATGGAAGGGCCTTGGAAAGACTTGGGAGCATGCATACACATTGTGCCAGAGGTTCCAGTCTGCTAACCATGTGGTGTGGAGAACCCTCTCCTGATATGGCTGCATGGTCAGAACTAGGGGCATCTTTAAGAAAGCCAAGCTGTGTTCATGGTTGGACTCCTTCACTCAAGGTGTCTGGTGAGAATCAATGCGCTCAGGTATGGTCTCACAGATTGACAATGGACCAGCCTAGCTAAGTTTGGAGATTCTCATAACCAGTGGTTTAACCATTAGATGAATTCTTTGGTACCCTGTGAAATAAAGAAAAATACAAAATGATGCTTACTTCTATATGGGCTTTTCTGGGGACTATCATTGTCAAATGATGGAATGACAGAAAAAAATCAGAGTATTTAAGAATCACACTTCTTAGGCCATATATAAGCATTCACTTAACTGTTGGTATCCATTGTAGTACAGCTAGGTGACTCAGTGAATAAAGCCCTGGGCCTGAAGTCAGACCTGAGTTCAGATCTGGCCTCAGACATTTAGTAGCTATGTGACCCTGGGTAAGTCATTTAAACTCTGTTTGCCCCAGTTTCCTCATCTATAAAATGGGCACATTAATAACACTTACTTCCTAGTGTTGTTGTGAGAGTCAAATGGGATAATATTTATAAAGAACTTAGCACAGTGCCTGGCATATATTAGATACTATGTAAATGTTAGCTATTATTATCATAATTATTAAATATTAGTTCTTTATTGCAACAATATGGAACAATGACATACAAAAGTGAACAATGGTCTTGGAGAGGCAAATAAATGGGCAGAATTGATTTTAGCCTGTGTCCAAAGACAGATTTATTTATTTATTTGTTTCTTTGTTTGCTTCGTGGGACATAGTCATCTAGCCTCATTGTGCTCATGACAATTAATATTAACACAGTTTGTTATCAATGTATATGGCAAAGGATGAAGAGGGGCAGAGAAATTTTATAAAGAGCTCGTCAAGATCTTCTCAGCCAGATACATATATACACTGTTACAGTGTGAAGAAAGACACAGAGAAGAAAAACCAAAAATATGTGGAAAATGTGGTTTCATATTAAGATGAAAAAAGTCAAAGACTTGCAGACTATTCAGAAGCCTCCTGGCTCTATATCATGAATACTTTCTTCAAAAATATGTAAAGAGTACTGAATGACATTGAGCAAGAATGAAACTGACCATCTTAACATGAAAGTCATATCAAAATAATCTGCATGCAGTTAGACCTTTGCCTCATTAGAGCAAAAGTCAAAATCAGCACCAACTTGGAAAATAGAGAAGAAACAGTATGTAAATTATAATACTTCTGACCTGATCAATTCAAATGAACTATTGACTTCAAAACAGAAATGGATGAAGGTAGATGTTAATTCTGATTATTATCATTTCTTATAGAAATGATTTCTATTGTGTGACCTTGGGCAAGTCACTTAACCTTGATTGCCTAAAAATAAAAAAAATTATTTGTAACATAAAGTATTCGCCACAAAAAAGAAGCTAAAGAAGCCCACAAAATGTTTTAAGAAACACCTAATCTTCTTGCCAAGGTTAGAGCAGTGGCAATTGAGGCAAAATAGGTTTTATAGCACATACTCATTGAAAAACATTACAGAAAAGGGAGGGACAATATTCCAGACAGTTTCACTTC